CTAGTAGAGTATGGCAGGATACTTTTCATGAGAATCACCTATATGAGTATGAACAAGGCCAGTTCTATGAGTTTTTTAAGGGCTACAATTCTCTTGAGTACTCATGAAGTACCAGGTTGTTCAGTGCCAAAACGAACACAATCGTGAGAACCAAACTGTGTCTAGAAATATGGTGTGTAAGTTCTATTGTCTTAGTTTACACAAATGGTTGAATCGTTCAAGACATCATGTTCACTGATTAGCTGGTAAATCTGATAGTGTCTCACAAGGGAAGGTTCAAAACCAAAAGCTACTTATCATTTGCAGAATATCTCTGATTTCTGTATTATCTTTAGAAACATCATGTTGTTACATTTTCTCTCCATCAATTCCATTCATGTGGGGGATTGTTGAAAATTTTGATTTTATAGGCTTATTTTGGGCCATCTTTAAGCCCAAATTTAAGTGGGGCCCATACGTCGTTTGAGGTGGTGACGTGTTCCTTACCGCATGGCAAGTTACATGATGAAGACGGATCATCAAAACCATTTTTGAGTGAATGGGAAGTTGACATCATTTTCGATTTCGTCATATGGGAAGTTAAATGTGGGCTACCATGTTTTGGGTGTCCCATATAGAAACAATAAGAGAGCTTATATGAGTATATATGCTTTATGTTGACATATTTGGAATGGGCTCCAAAGGGCACCCCAAGTTTTGTAAAAAAGAGAGCTATGGACAAAGTGGATTTGATCCAAATCCACCGCACGCACGCGTCGCTGTTGCCATCAGGCCGGTCGGCCGAACCTGGCCAGGTGCGGGCACGGGTGCAGGTGCGGGTTATGGGTCGGGTTGTGTCTTAATTTTAATTTTTTGGACAAAATTTATTTGACGTTTTTCAAAATTCTTGCAAAAAAACTTGAAATCCTAACAGATTAATACAAACTGTTGCGCCAAAATTCAAATTTGAAATTTTTGCTTCCTGAAACAGTACCTCTTTGATCGCCACTCTTCATTTTCCGGTGGTTCCAGGTTTCACACTTGTTCGAAAGGTTTTTTGGCCTTCTAAACAGACAGCTCTTGGCCTATAAATACAGGATCCCCCAGCAGATTCAATTTATTCCATTTTTTCCTTTTCCATTTTCCTTTTGTGCTACATTTATTCTTCATACTGGTTTTTAGAGTTTTAAGAGAATTTTAGAACTCAGGTTCTGGTTCGCCAGAACGGATTGTTTATAGTGCTACTACAGTCTATGTGAGTGATCATTATATCTTGAGAGATAGACGCCGATAATCCATGAGTACCTGTGTGGCGGCGAATCTGTCTTAAGGATATAGTATCACACACTCAACTTGATCATGATTTTGCTATTCTAACATTCCGGTACAAGAACTTCTTGTAAGTAATTTATGTACTTTGTTTCAGCATTTTTTTTTTACACAGAAGATTGTTGAATTGAAATAGACTCCATTTGAATGAAATGGTGCAACCCTCCATTTGAATGAAATGGTGCAATCATTTCATAGTGTCTCTTTATTTTAAAAGAAAGGTTATGTGTCTTTGCTGTTTAAATTAAATATGTACCAACAAGCCTATATAAAGGCAGCCCCCATTCCAATTTTTTTTTTTTCCAACTTTCTCACGTTCAAGCATTCTTCTTGTATTCTTTATCTGTGTGAGTCTGAATTTTGTGAGTGCAAAACATAATTTTGGCTCGCTGTACAATCAAAGAGTGTGTTGTCTTCATTTGCGGGGACTGTTGTATCCTAAAGATAGGACGTCCATTGTTCTCAAGCACCATTAGAGAGGACAAAATTCTGTCTTAAAAATACAGTGTTCAAACACTGATCTCAATCACAAATTTGTTCATAAATTATCTGTAAAAATACTATAAAATTTAATTTTAGGGCCTGGCTTTGGTCCAGTCCACCATCGGACTGGACCGTGCTGTTGGGCCCGTGGGGGCCCACGACGGGTCCCGTTTTGAAAATCTGAACCGTCAATGTATAGAACTCGTCAAGTACTATATGCTGTGAAAAATCACATTGATCGGATATCGATAGCTATGTGATCAAAACAGTTTTTTTATCAACCGTTAATTTATTCACCGTCTATTTTTTTATACAAAACTAATTTGATCACATAATTATCGATATTCGATCAACGTGATTTTTCACAGACTTATAGTACTCGACGAGTTCTACACATTGAACGGTTTAGATTTTCAAAACAAGACCCGTGGTTGAACCGTTCAATGTGTAGAACTCGTCAAGTACTATATGCTGTGAAAAATCACATTGATCAGATATCGATAGCTATGTGATCAAAACAGTTTTTTTATCAACCGTTAATTTATTCACCGTCTATTTTTTTATACAAAACTAATTTGATCACATAATTATCAATATTCGATCAACGTGATTTTTCACAGACTTATAGTACTCGACGAGTTCTACACATTGAACGGTTTATATTTTCAAAACAAGATCCGTGGTGGGCCTCTGCGGGCCCAACAACACGGTTCAGTCCGATGGCGAACTGAACCAAAGCCAGATCCTAATTTTATTATTTATTTTATTTACTTTTATTAATTATTACCGAAATTATCTCCAACAACTCCACAATTGATTGAAGCAGCAGACTAGCACCCAAGGCTCCTTCCAACTCCGTAAAGAAACATCTCCAATAATCTCCACATTACCTTTTGAAGGCCCATACTAACTCCACTAACGTCTCCACTAACTTCAGATCACATCACACAAATTTGACCCATCCTTTTTCAAGCAAAAATATTATAGCTTTGGAATATGGTGAATGAGCAAAGCACTAATAATAAACCCCTCTTACATCATCACTTATCATTGAGGGATAATGTGGTGTTATTATATATATATATACATTTTTTGTGTGCATATTTATGTTACCAATTATTTCAATGAGACTTGTACAATTGTGCATCCAACGGTATCTCTTATGAACTCTTTAAATTTATATGTTAAAGTTTGTTTTATGATAAAATGAGAACCTAATTTTATGTGTTAAACGTTTGTTAATTTAGAAAGTGCGTAAATGTTTCAATAATAAAGTTAAAATGTGTGTCAAAATGTATCTTAAATAAGAATTGAGTCTACTTAAATCTGTATAAATTTGTACGAATATAAAATAGAAAAAAAAAATTTGATTTAAAAAAAAGAAAGTTAGAGATGCTTGCTTTAAAAAAAAAAAATAATAAGAGAGGGTGGAGATGCCTAAAAATATGTGTCAGCACCTCTTCCCTATCACCAGCAAGATCTCTCTGTGTAGTCACAATTAGCAAGAATTTTAACTAATGTCCAACTTAAGAACAAAGCTAACTAGCCAAAAAGAAAAAATGGGTTTGTTTACTGCCCTGAGTGAAGTGATGCTCAAAGCTTAAAAAAATTGCAGACAAAAAGCAATGTCCAAATTCATATGGCTGGTTGAATTTGAAGTTTAAAAATCAACTGAGTTTGGTTAATTTACTATTTTAGTATACTTCTAATTTGAGACGGCCAAATGCAAAGATTGATAGTTTCTTAGGGTATTTATTCATACATTTTTTTTCACCTACTTATATTTTATTTGGTCTAAATTATTTTCTTATATTCTAATAAGTCCTATGAGTGTCATAGTTTCTAAAATACCTCTAATAATAATATTGACATTAACAGAGTGAATGTTCCGTGATGTTGTGAATGTTCACACTGTCAATGTGAACATTTATATTGTAAAATATAAATATTCATATTATCAAGCTGCTAACTGTTCAAAAAATATTTGTAAGGATAAAATCATTCATAAAATACCTTAACTATAAGAATTAAGATTTGATGGATTTAATGTCCAAATAAAAAGACTTATTGAAATACAAATATATGTTGCGGACTAATTAAAAAACTTCGTAATAAATCTCCCTAATTTCTTTCCTATTATGCGATTGTTTGTTCTCTTGTTGTCTATGAAGCATGGGTACTTTGAAAAACATGTCGTACCCGTACCGGGTACTTACCGGCGTACCGTACCTCGTATGGTACTTCTGCATACGTACCGGGTACACAAAACACGTACCCAAGTTTTTTCTTCTTAATTTTTGACTTACCCAGACGTACCTAGTAGATATCCAAGCCGTACCGTACCCAATTGAAACAATATTTTCCTTCCACTACAGAGATAAAACTCATTTCACTAGATTTCTTTTTTAGTTTTTGTTTTATGCTTAGCATGATTTTAAAATTAAACTATGGTTTGTAAGTTATTTAATATATTGACATTTAATTTTGATTTATACTTTTCCTTTTGGCATTAAATGTTAATTATAGGTTGGACCTTAACAAATTAAACCATTTAATTAATTTTTGCATTACTTTAAATTAAAAATAAATATTTTTTTACAAGCGTATCAAGTCGTACCCGTACCCGTACCCGTACCCTATTTTTTTAAATTTTATCGTACCAATATACCCATATCGTACCAGTTCCAATACTCATATCCGTACTTGTGCTTCATAGCTTCTTGTTTTCTTCGCCATTACAGGGCTCTTTCTTACCTTGGTTATTGGGTTACTTATTTCTTTTGAGAGGTCTTTGTTGCATTGATTGTTGGACTTTTGCAGTTGGATTACAATTACCCTGATGTAAGGTAGTTTAGTGCCCATTATAAGGGCTCTTTATTGGGCTGATTGTTGGGCTTTTACAGTTATTGTAATATGATAATTTTTTTTATTTTGTAAATAACCTTTTACCGATTAAAAAAAAATTGTAATGTAAATTAAAATTAATGGAAATTTTATTTTGTGATGACAGGAAAAGTTTACGAGTCAAAGGACATCAGGTTGCCTATCTTTACCAACACGAAGTCATTAAAACATATAAAATGAAGTCCATTCCAATTTCTTGCTCTTCAAGATGGGAATAACCTGCTTTAATATTTCTCACCCAATGCCTTAAAATAATAAGAAACATAGTACCAATGAACTCTATATAAGCCTCCAACTGCATATACAGATGCATATATTGAGAGAGAGAGAGAGAGAGAGAGAGAGAGAGTATGGATAAAATGGAGAAAAAAGGTGAAGTGGTGTTGTATGGGACATGGGGTAGCGCTTATTGCACTAGAGTTGCTTTGGCCCTTAAACTTAAGGGCATAACCTATGATTACATAGAGGAAGATTTAACAAACAAGAGTGAATTGCTATTGCAATACAACCCTGTTCACAAGAAGGTACCTGTATTGGTTCACAAAGGTAAACCCATTGTTGAGTCGCTTCTCATTCTTGAATACATAGATGAGTTCTGGTACAACACCCCCAAGCTATTCCCAGAGGATCCCCATGACAGAGCCATGCTTCGCTTCTGGGCCAATTTTTATGATCAAAAGGTATGCTTCTAGGCCAATGGTGTTCTAGGACACAATTTGCAATTACTTTCTCCATTTTCCATTTTCCATTTTCCCATAATCCCCTTTTTAATTCTCTATTGTTAATTTATTGTCATATGCTTCATGTATAATTCTCTAGTGTTCATCTAGCTGGGCTGAATTTGGGCCGGGCCAGACCTAAGTTAAAAATTATAAAAATATCTCATGTTTAGGCCCGGATTAGCTTAGACTTCCAACTTTAAAATCTCTATCAAACTCAGCCTTAAAATGGTATTATCTATACAACAAAACGACCACATATATTAAGAGGGTATTTGGAATGATTTAAATAAGTATACTCAAAAATATGTTCAAAAATCTAGAGAGGTAATATGATCTAAAAAAGATAAAAAAATAAAAAAAGTGTACTAAAATAAGGAATGTCAAATAGTGCCTAAATAAAAATAAATATTACAAATTCAAAAATGAATAATTTTGTAGTTCAGTTAACATAAAATCTTAATATTTACCCAATACATCTTAGGTATAGACCTAGGTGTGTTTTCCTTTATAAGTGTCTTTTCTTTTCTTTTTTTTCCCTTTCTTTCATTCTATTTTTTTTTTATAAAATTAAAATCAAAATCAAAATCAAATCAAATCAAATAAACAAATATATACGTACATAATATATAAATTTCGTTACACATATATGAATAATCGGCCCGAATCGGGCCACAGTAATATTTTTAAACCCAACTCATTTAACAAAACAAGCATAAAAAGTCATTCACTCAACTTTTATAAGCTTAAATGTCAATCTCAAACTCTTCAAAACGTGAGTTGAGATGAGCAAACTTGCGGACCAGTACCCACCCTAGTTATTGGTAACTTTATGAATCAAACAGTTTTAATTTTAATTTTCCTTGATATCCTTATAGTAAGGGTGATTGCAGATCCGATTGGATCAAGTGATATCCCATTAGTCATCCACACAAAATTAGGCGAATTAAAAAAAATAAAATAAAATCAATCTGTATCTGTTTAACGGTTTGGTGGATGCGGATTGAACAGTCGCATGGTTGGCTGATGGATTTGATCGATTTGACAGTTTGAATTTTGAGCATTTTTTTGAATATAATTCATAACTTTTACAATCTCTAATAACTAGTAATCTAAAAATATATATATTATTTGTCTATAATAGACCATGGTACCACATATGTATACTCTTAAAGTATTGTTTTTCATTTTCATAAAAATATATATTTTGTTAATACTACTCTATGTTGTTACTTGTTAGTAGTTCTTTTCTTTTTTTTAACTTTATCTATCGGCGGATCGGATTCAGACAGGCAAATGGCAGAGCTAACAAATTACTTTAGGAGGGGCACTGGTTAATCACAAATTTAAAATAAATAAATAAATTCAATATCAACAACAATAATATAATACAAAATTTGTAAATTAATAAGGAACACAAAACATAAATATTTCTTTAAAAAAAAATACTTTGCAAAACTATGAAAATTCAAAAAATAATATTATAATGACTACATTTTTATATTATTTTTACTTTATTATTAAAGTCTCAACAATACATTGTAAACAAACATTAGTAATGAGACTTATTCAACCAATCTAGAGGTAGTAACTCACATGGTATTTCAAATATAAAATTATTGACATACAAATTACAAACGTGGTTTATATTTCAAATTGTGTGTCAATCCTTAATCATTTTGAAGAGAGTGAATGGATCATTTTTTTTCTTAATTTATGTTCAATTTATTAATAGTAATTACTAATTGTATTAAATTAACATAATGTGAAAAATGAAAGGAAAAAAAAAAATTTATGTAGTTGGAACTTGGAAGTAGATAATGAAATTGACAAAATGGACAATCCACAAGGACCAATAAGAAAAATGAGAGAAAAGAAAGAGAAGAGAAAAATAGTCATTTAGGAATTTAAAGTTCTTATGCAATTGTAATAAATTAAAAGTTGATTCATAACTTGGTATGTCATTGTGAATAAATTGTAAGACTTGTGAGTCTCCATCTTTTTCAATTAAGAAGAATTTTTAAATATTAATTTTTAAAGGATCTAAAATAAATTAGGGTTGTTACAATTATACTTTTCACAAACAAATAAATAAAAAAAAAAAAAATATGTAAAAAAAAAAAAAAAACTTTACAAATATATAGGTAATAGTATAATCATACAAAACTGAAGAGGGGCACGTGCCCCCCTAGTCTTTACTTCCCTCCGCACTGTCTGTGGGTGCAGGATAATTGATCTATCATTCGAATCGTATGCGCGAATTTTAAAATATTTCATTTGCATCTGTCTGCTAAAAGATATGCATCCACCCAAAATTAATTAGGTTGGATTGGATCGATTCAGTCAGGTTGAACAAGTTGGACAGATGCACGATCACTCATAGTGATTTCTCTTGGCTTCTTCTTCAACTTCAATATTGACTATTGTTGAATAAAATTTGACCTGAATGTTGGGGTTTTAATTTTTGGAATGCTAATGAATAATACTGAATGCATTTTCTTGATACCAGCTATTTCCAAGTACCTTCCCTATCATCAAGTCCTCTGGAAAAGAGCAAGAAAAAGCCATACAAGACTTCTCCGAGTTGCTGAAGGTGCTTGAGGAAGGACTCGAGAAGGATTTTCCAGGAAAATCCCCTTTCCTTAATGGTGAGACCATCGGATATCTTGGGATCGTGGTGGGATCGAGTGCTTGCAACTTTGACGCTTTTCATGAAGCAGTCGCCGTGGTTGTTGATTCACAGAAGCACCCTGCTTTCACATCATGGGTGGCCACTCTAAAAGACCACCCTCTGATGAAGGAGACGCTCCCAGATCATCACAAACTGGTTGCCAAGATGAGAGAGAAGTACTTCCAGTCTCCTCAAGTTTGATTGCCAGAGAGCACTATATACAAATAAGAGAATGCTCATGAACTTGGTTTCACAAAATATGTAGGCGTTGGAAAAACCTTCTATTTTCATTTTCAGACTATAAATAACTGAAGGATAATGTCAATCCTATGGCAAATTAGTTATGCACTTACATTGAAAATAATACATGATATGTTCACTTTTTATAACCTAAAACCAGGCCGAGCAAGCCTGGTGAACTTTTTCCAAACCCAAGCTCGTATTCTGAGTGGCCCGGCCTGGGTTGGGATTGGGCGTGAAGCCTAGCCCTGCCAGGCTCGCTTGGCATGAGAATGTATATAATCAAATGTTTTTGAGATGACTTTCTCATTGGCCTGTTGGCCAACCTGTGAGCTAGTTAGGTATTATGCAAAATATATAAATAAATCAACAGCTAGGCCCACAGGCCAACTCACATGTCAATCAACTTAGTCTCTGAGCCGAATTGGATAGGTCTTGGACAATAAAAAACCATTGGACTTAGCCAGCAGGCTGATTTGGGCTTCATTTTTGTGGCGAACCTGGCCCGATGCCGGCCCTTTGCTCACAGCTGCCCAGTTGACTGGAGAAAAGCCCTATGGCACATAAAATACACTTGGGTATCATATGGAGTTATTATTCAGTACTCATGAAATACAGCCACGTAATATTTCAGAAGTGTAGTGATTGGTAGAGAAAGTAAAACTCATAATTTTGTATAGAGTGACCAAGGGACATAAGGGAGCATAGTATATAATAATTAGTGAAAAGCATAAACATGGGACACTCCAAGAGCACCCAATAATTTATCAATCATATGACTAACTTCTGTCAAATAAATGTCAGCTTCTTTCTCTCCAACCAAACTTTAGATGACCTGTGAGCAGGATCCAGAATCAATGTGCACATCTACACATGAAGGTAAAACTGCAAATTATGACATTAATCCAATCTAACTTAAAAAATAACGATCATATTACATGGAAACAATCCAAAATCAAGGCAACATCAAATCAAATTAAGAAACACAAAACCCTAAAGCAGTTAATTTGTCAACAAAAGTACAAATGATAATAGTTCAAAACAGCCAAGATGGTACATTAAAACCAAATCTGAAACACCTCACATTACATTTCCATGATTCCTAGTTTTTTGCCTGTATTCAAAATTCTCTAGATGCAGTTTAAGATTCAATACACTTGTCCTAAGCTTAACTCTTAGCAGCTTGCTTTTCTTTGGTCTTCTGAATCTTCAAAACCTTCTTCACAATCTTTTGCTCTTCCACTAAAAAGGCTCTAATGATCCTACAAAAAATACAAAACAATTGCATAAAATTCTCTTGAGATAAATATATATGTGAATTACAAGAAAACCAATGTGGCCGCTAGATGCTTGCAAGATCGCACCTTTCCCTGACAGCACCTCCAGACAGTACACCACCATAAGCACGGTTCACAGTCCTCCGATTTCTAGATAATCTAGATCTCTTGTATTCAGCAGGTCTCAAGTGAGGAATCTGCAGACACAAACAACAATGTTTCCTGAATTGATAATTCTTAAAACTTCCCCAAACAAGGCCTATTACAGTGCTACAAGCAAAGAAAAATCAGGACATAAAATCAAGGGAAAATTAAGTGATTAGCCACTCATAAATGAAATGTTGAGCAAGCAACATGTGCGATTGAAGCACTTGTTCAAAATGAGCATGTAAATAAGCATGTAAATACATCGTGCTTTAAAAGGAAAACAATCCCCCTCCGCATGGAACTAAAGGTTTCTGTAGTCTACTCAAGAATATTCTTCTAAATTTTTTTTTTGTTTTGAGGGGGGGGGGGGGGGGGGAAGCAATTATTTTAGATAAATGGCTAAGAATTGCAATAAATGCCAAAGAAACATAATGAATATCACCATAACACTGTCCATTTACCATGGCTTAAGACACGAATAATAAAAGAATTATCAATCATGTCAAATTTGATGTTTAGTTATCAGCCACCAAATGTCGAATTTGATAGTGGCTTAGAGTAGTTGTTTTGAGAATTGGCTATTTTAGTTGGCTTTTTACATAGAAAGGAGTTGACTCTTTTGTAGTGGCCTTTTGGCTATGCCAAAACAGAAAGCTAGACCGCACAAATGTAGATCTAAATTGCAACTATCTCCGCCTAGCATTCCTAACTCACCAGCATCTAAACCATAATTTAAACTATCCAACATGATTGAGGCTGTTGCTCTAGCAAAAGGCTAAATCTTCCCTGGCCTTGACAGCAGGCCAAGTAATACACAATAAGGCTTTTTCTAGCTGGCATAAAATAATACAATAAAACAGCCATCCACCAATAAAGAAGTCGACATGGATTTTTGGAAACCATATTATACAAAAAGCAAAACTTGAACTTCTGTGTCATCATCCGTATTTGGCAGTGGGTTGTAACCCTACCGGTTCAAAGAGCCACCACTATATATCTATGTTACATGGACTCTTCAAAATAGATCAAATACCCCCGTATCAGACACCCAAAACTTGGATAACAATGTTGGATATGTGTCCGAGTCCGATACTTTCCATTAGACACATCTTATGCATTTGTATTTAATATTATCCTTATATGTATGTATTGTTGTATAGTTGCTAGAAAATTAGTAAAATATTTTTTGGACACTGTATGTTAAAAGGAAAATAATATACAAAACCTACTTTTTAGACTTATTTTATAGACCCAATGATGTGTAAGTGATATGATTAGTTAATTATTAGAGAATATATGAGAGAGTATTACCTTTAATATCCTAATTATCTTAAATAGCAATATGCTCATGTATAACACCATTTACCTCAAAATAAATTAACAACATAAAAATATGACACTTTCTTTCTGAGCCCACATCTCTTTTGAGATTTGACAGGTCCAATACACACCCGTAGTCTACACCCATCCATGAGTCCATGTAATATAATTATATATATGGAGCTCTTGATGTATAAGGAATGTATATGCTACATTTTTTCTTTTTTAATGTAACAAAATAAAGTTCTTTCTTTTATGCCAAAATAATAACAAAAAATATCACAATGGGTGGAAACTATTGATGGGTCATGGATTAGGATGATATTATTATGCATAGGAATGAATATTTCTAATTCATGTCTCAACCCAAATAATATATATTCACATTTCTTCCAGATGCACAGAATCCGATTTACAGAGTCAAATGCAATCCTCTCACATGGCTGGCAGTGAATATTGTTATGATGATGTTGGTGTCGAGGTGTTGGTAGTGGCAGTAAAGAGGGGGTTGTTGAAGTGGCTCCACATGTACTTGCCCTAACAACACTAAATAATTTCCCTAATATGTCCAGCAGTGAAGGCTAGCCTATACATCAACCGTTAGATTATAGGCTAGATCAGGGACATTAAAAAAAATTGAAACATTAACTCAATTTTTTGCATAAAAAAGTACATACATCGATCTTAAAACAAATAGTAAAGAAGCCAATAAAAAAAAAAAAAAAAAAAAAACTAACAGTGAAGGACCCAGTGGTTATGATGATGTTCATGTTGAGGCGTTGGGTAGTGTCAGTAAAGAGGGGGGTTGTTGAAGTGGCACCACATGTACTTGCCCCAACAATGCCAAATAATTTCCCTAATACTTCCAGCAGTGAAAGTCAGCCCCATGAAATTTAGGGCCTTAAAAAATGGCCTTTTACTACATTAAAAAAATTTGAAAACTTAACTCAATTTTTTGCATAAAAAAGTACATACATCGATCTTAAAACAAGTAGTAAAGAAGCTGATTAAAGAAAAAAAAAATACTAAAGGACCCAGTGGTAGTAATTCCTCATGGCCAAAACATGGTTCTCAATCACAATATCGGGACACATAACAGTAACAGGTATCAGGAGTATCATGTGATACATATCACGAATCGAGTTACAATGACATTGAATTTTTAATATCATTAGCAACCCCTCTAAATCTTAATGATATGCATCTTTGGACTATTTTAATAAATTTTTCATATTTTAATCTATGTTATTGATATCTAAAAATATGCTTTTCTAATTCGTCACATTTTAAAACTAATGTTACCAAATGAAAATAATTGACCCATACTTAGCTCTCCCTAGCTAAAAACACAATAGTCTTTAACCCCACGTCAAATAAGAAATGAGAAAACATTGATGCACTACTTTACATAACAGGTCATGTGAGTAGAATATGCACACATTATCCCACGTCGGAGAACTAAGGAAGCATTAGTCTCCTAACAACTATATGCATACTTCATGTGATTCAGGAGGGATAATCGATGGCTTCATTACCACGTGATTCAGCTAATGGAATTAAAAATTTGGGATAAGTGATTGCAACCTCTAAAATGGTTGACAAGCCAGACCAGTTTTTCCCTAATTGATTGGTGCATGAAATCCAATTTAGACCGGTTCATAACGCAAACTAGCTGGTTCACATGCAATATTTGCTGTCAACATTATACCCATGGGTATTTGAATTGAGATCCCAAAAAATCGGTTCGAACAAACATAGCAAACTTCACACAAGCTAGCCAATCAACGGCCCAACCAGAGTCATAACAAAGATCAGCTATAGACAAAGAAAATGACACAGAGAGAGCCATCACATCAAAACCCCCTCAACGAAAAAATGATCTATTGTCAATCCCAATCCAAAATTTAAACCCAACACCTCCATACCACTTAACTACAACAATATCTAGACGATCACCAAAATGAAAATTGAAAGACACTCCATCACCCCCAAGCTCTCATAATGAAGCTCCTAATAGAAAGATAAGAGATTTAGACGAGGAGAACCGAGACTTCCACCATAGATGAATCAAGGATAAGCCAAATATGGAAGACTAAGGGTTTTCATAGAACTTGAGAAAAACACATCTAAACTAGGGAATATGTTACATGGATTCAGGTATGAGTGTCTGGTGTGGGCACGTATCTAGAGGTTGGACTCATCAAATCATAAATTTAAGGATGCAGACTCGGCAAAAAATGTCAAATTTTAATATTTTTGAGATAGAATAGTGTTATATGTAACTTACAATGCCAAAAAGACATTTATAGCAATTATACAACAGTATGTACATGTAATAGTAGTGTTAAATACAATTATATAAGAAGTATCTGATGAAAAGTATCCAACACATATCTCATACGCTTGTCCGAGTATCGGGTGTCCGACATGAGTATTTGATTCATCTTGAAGAGTCCGTATAACATAAACTATAGCACAAGGAAAGATAAATTCCACACCCAAAGAAGCAAAAACAATTTGTGTTCAAAGTAACATATGATGAAGACACAAAGGGTTTTTTTTCTACGCAGAGGATAGACATGTGTGGATGATATGGGCTGAGCTAGCTAAGGAGTGGCTTCTAGGAAGATGGTGGACACTGTTACGTCCACAGACCACTAGAGATGGATAGCCTTAGTAAAGAGAGGATGGCAATGGAGCACTAAAAATCTGAGAGCAAGTAGGTGATGATGACAATGGTCATGTTTGGCCTGCATAGAGGTCAACCGAGCACACATACCATTGACCACCCTTGGATAGGAGAAACAGGGAGAAACATGAGTTAAACTTTGTAGCCTCTAATAGCAGCCTCAAGAGGTGTATCATATGTAGTGAGAGGATAAGTACGATACAACCCTTTTTCGACGTGCCAAGGAAGCTTAGAGGTAGATATTATCAAGGTTTTAAAAAGCGACCGCAACCATTACGTAACGCCGTTACGTAACGGTTGTGGTAGTTACCGCCACCCGTTACTGCCGCTTTTGCAGTGTGATTGAGATTCACAGGTGTATCGGCCGTAGCGGCTGTTATAGCGGTCGTAATGGTGCCGTAACGGCCTGTTACGCACCGTTACGTAACGGTTTTGAATTGCTTCTTTCGAAAAAAAACAAAAAAGCTAAAAATGGGGGAAGAGGGATAGAGAGAGAAGAGGGAAGATGGAGGAACAAGAGATAGAGAGAGAGAATAGGGAAGATGAAGAACATGTTATTGATTTGTTGAAATTGTAAGACCTATACTATTCTATTCAGCTGTTATCACTCAACCATTTTGTTTGTGTGTGTCTATCTATATATTGTTTGAAAATAATAATAATAATAATAATAATAAGTGCGGTCATTATCTATTTGGCTTGATTAATATATATATATATATATATTTAGGCTTTTATTTATTCTCTTACTTTTGTCATTGTTTATCTTATATATAATAGTTAGTGATTGATTTTTTGTATAATATAAAGTCATTAATTATTAAAATAAAATGTAAAAAACTCAGTTTATAGTGATTTAAAAATATGAAATATATTGGATCAAACTTAAAAATTTATAAAAATTAATTAATATTTATTTTAAAACCCAATAAATATGGTCATGGAAAAAAAAATGTGCGTATCGGTAAAATTTTTTTAAATTGTGCGAAAAATAAAAAAATTCACGGTTCCGGTTACCGCAACCATTACGCTACGGCCTTTACACCCCGCAACCGCAACTGCAACCGCAACCGCGCCACCGCCACCACCACCGTTACGGCGACCGCAGCTGCTTTTCAGAACTTTGGATATGATACAATTTGTGATGGGTCAGATCTTTGTCAAAGCTCTCTGTCTCTCTCTAAGACTGATCAGAGCCAGCCTCGTCCCCAAGAGGGAGTTTGTTGACTTTCAATTAACACATTAGCATTAAAGGAGAAGTTTGTTGATTTAGTATATAGGCCTTTGGCAAAGTTAAAAGGTTTATAAAAAATAGGATTTCTTTTTAAGAGAGGTTCAAGAAATGTAGAAAATGATTTTTATTAACAGATTTCATTATTATCTCTGTATTTTCTACTTTAAAAAAAAATACTACTCAATTGTTTAAATTTGCAGTGGCAATCTCTTAGAGCATCTCCACCTGTTGATTTTTTCATCTAAGTTTATTCTAAATTTGAGTAAAATGCTTGATTTGATATGAACTACTCCAATCTTTTTATCAAAATCTTTTTCAAAATAGTCCTTTTATTGTAAATTTCCCTTTTCATCAAATTCGATGGGGGTTACAAAATCATCTACAATGCTTCATCTTTTAAATTTTCATCAAATTCAAATTTAATGAAGGATTTGATGAGTTCTCAATTTTATGGGGAAAAAAATGCCTCTCCCTTGATTTGATGAACAATTAATGAAAGGATTGGAAATGATTTGTTAGCACTTTTTCATCAAATTTAAAATTGATGAAAGAAAATGTGAAAGATTGGAGATGTTCTTACATAAACAAATATGCAGAAACTGACAAGTACAATTTAACAACAGCACATAAATTCCACATTCTGAAAATTAACTCACCCTATGTAATTTGATGCTAAAATTATGAATCCAGTTATTTATTTATTTATTCATTCATGCAAGCTACTAAATTTTCCAAAACCTTAAGGTAGTGTTTGGTTCATTGGAATGAAATGGAATAGACTAAAAAAAATAATGACAAATATATTATAAATAGAATCATCTTTTACCATTTTAAAAGAATGGTCATTCCAGTCATTCAAATAAACCAAATAGAGCATAAAAACTGTCAAAACACAGCACAGAGAAACAAGTATACAAACAATGGAAAAATTAAAAAGAATGTAAGGGATTGGAAAATAAACTTACCCCTTGGATTCTCTTACCAGTGACAGGGCACTTAGGACCACTTGCCCTCTTCTTGGTGCTCTGATAAACCAACTTCCCACCTATTATTCATTCAATTAATTCCAAAACACCAAACAGATCATAAAACCCCCCATCATTACAAGATAACTACATTCAATTGTTGCAATCACAAAATCTAAACGCAGAGAAGAAATGACAGAGGTATGCATCGTACCAGGGGTTTTGACGATCCTGTGCTGGTTCGATTTCGTCGCATAGCTATGCCGTTTGCGGTACGTGAGCCTTTGCACCATCTTCAACCCTCTTTCTCTCTTTTGGTTTGGGGCTGAAGGCTAAAAGGCGTTTAGAACTGGAGAGAGAAGATATATAGAGGAGGCGTGCAAGTGTCGGTTGCCCTAGATCGTACGGCTGATATCGAATTCAATTTTCGGAAAAATTTGGGCTTAGTTTGACATAATACAAAAAATTTAAAAAGTCAAAAAGTCACTATCATATCATCTCATTTAAATCACATCATCTTCCTACCATATCACTTCAAATTCAACCCATATTTTATGTTTTTTCGTAAAAAGTCAAAAAGTGCACTTATTTAGATCATCCCAAACAACCCATTGGTTTTCCTCCAGTCCGATCATTGAAGGGTGCTGTTGAGCTTGTGGGGGTTCGCCACGGATTCTATTTTAATAATCTTAACCGTTCAATATGTAAAACTCGTCGAATATTATATATCTATAAAAAAATCACATTAATCGGATATCGATAATTACGTGATAAAATTAATTTTGTATAAAAAAATAGACGGTAAAAAAATAATGGTTGACAGAAATCTGAACCGATGAAATAGCTATCGATATTCAATCAACGTAATTTTTTTACAAACATATAGTACTCAACGAGTTCTGCATATTAAACGGTTCGGATTATTAAAACGAAACCCGTGGAGGGCTCTTACAACCCCAACAACACCTTTCAGTCCAATTACGGACTAGAGTAAAGCCATTCCTTTTTTCAAATGAGCGAGGTTTGTTTGCGATTTATGGCTTAGATATTGAAGCCCAAAAGGCTTTGGATTTTCTCATAAAACGTGGAAAGATGGTTAAGAGTTGATTTTTTAGTTTTATTTGATTTTTTGTAAAAATATATATATATATATATATAAAATATGAGAGATGATGTGACACAAAATGAGTTAAAAGTTGAAAAATGACTTTTAACTATCTTCTCAAAATAGCCCTACATCTCAATGAACCATAAATTTTTTTACATAAACATAGTAGGGTGCAAGTTATGGAATCAAAGCACTTGATGGAATGAATGTTATGGAAATTCTCAAAAAGTATATATTAGGTCAATAGAGATTGAATGCAAAAGATTGCGAAGTTGAAGAGGAAAATGTTATATGGTGGATAAGGATGATTCAAAATTGTTAATATTAGCACATTATAGAGATTTCTGTCTAAGAATGGTGAAACTAGCAACTCAATCATCTATCAATTGATTGATGAAGAGATTAAGAAATTGTGTGTAAAAGTGAATAATATAATGAAGTGTTGGAAATTTTGATACCAAAGAATTAAGGAAAATGTCTCGTAGCTCAAATTTTGTGGCTCAAAAGTGGCTCAAATGGTCGTTTTGGCCATTTTTATGTTGTTTTGTACTCAAAACAACGTCGTTTTGGCCATTTGAGCCACTTTTGAGCCACAAAATTTGAGCTACGAGACATTTTCCTTAATTCTTTGGTATCAAAATTTCCAACACTTCATTATATTATTCACTTTTACACACAATTTCTTAATCTCTTCATCAATCAATTGATAGATGATTGAGTTGCTAGTTTCACCATTCTTAGACAGAAATCTCTATAATGTGCTAATATTAACAATTTTGAATCATCCTTATCCACCATATAACATTTTCCTCTTCAACTTCGCAATCTTTTGCATTCAATCTCTATTGACCTAATATATACTTTTTGAGAATTTCCATAACATTCATTCCATCAAGTGCTTTGATTCCATAACTTGCACCCTACTATGTTTATGTAAAAAAATTTATGGTTCATTGAGATGTAGGGCTATTTTGAGAAGATAGTTAAAAGTCATTTTTCAACTTTTAACTCATTTTGTGTCACATCATCTCTCATATTTTATATATATATATATATATATTTTTACAAAAAATCAAATAAAACTAAAAAATCAACTCTTAACCATCTTTCCACGTTTTATGAGAAAATCCAAAGCCTTTTGGGCTTCAATATCTAAGCCATAAATCGCAAACAAACCTCGCTCATTTGAAAAAAGGAATGGCTTTACTCTAGTCCGTAATTGGACTGAAAGGTGTTGTTGGGGTTGTAAGAGCCCTCCACGGGTTTCGTTTTAATAATCCGAACCGTTTAATATGCAGAACTCGTTGAGTACTATATGTTTGTAAAAAAATTACGTTGATTGAATATCGATAGCTATTTCATCGGTTCAGATTTCTGTCAACCATTATTTTTTTACCGTCTATTTTTTTATACAAAATTAATTTTATCACGTAATTATCGATATCCGATTAATGTGATTTTTTTATAGATATATAATATTCGACGAGTTTTACATATTGAACGGTTAAGATTATTAAAATAGAATCCGTGGCGAACCCCCACAAGCTCAACAGCACCCTTCAATGATCGGACTGGAGGAAAACCAATGGGTTGTTTGGGATGATCTAAATAAGTGCACTTTTTGACTTTTTACGAAAAAACATAAAATATGGGTTGAATTTGAAGTGATATGGTAGGAAGATGATGTGATTTAAATGAGATGATATGATAGTGACTTTTTGACTTTTTAAATTTTTTGTATTATGTCAAACTAAGCCCAAATTTTTCCGAAAATTGAATTCGATATCAGCCGTACGATCTAGGGCAACCGACACTTGCACGCCTCCTCTATATATCTTCTCTCTCCAGTTCTAAACGCCTTTTAGCCTTCAGCCCCAAACCAAAAGAGAGAAAGAGGGTTGAAGATGGTGCAAAGGCTCACGTACCGCAAACGGCATAGCTATGCGACGAAATCGAACCAGCACAGGATCGTCAAAACCCCTGGTACGATGCTTACCTCTCTCATTTCTTCTCTGCGTTTAGATTTTGTGATTGCAACAATTGAATGTAGTTATCTTGTAATGATGGGGGGTTTTATGATCTGTTTGGTGTTTTGGAATTAATTGAATGAATAATAGGTGGGAAGTTGGTTTATCAGAGCACCAAGAAGAGGGCAAGTGGTCCTAAGTGCCCTGTCACTGGTAAGAGAATCCAAGGGGTAAGTTTATTTTCCAATCCCTTACATTCTTTTTAATTTTTCCATTGTTTGTATACTTGTTTCTCTGTGCTGTGTTTTGACAGTTTTTATGCTCTATTTGGTTTATTTGAATGACTGGAATGACCATTCTTTTAAAATGGTAAAAGATGATTCTATTTATAATATATTTGTCATTATTTTTTTTAGTCTATTTCATTTCATTCCAATGAACCAAACATTACCTTAAGGTTTTGGAAAATTTAGTGGCTTGCATGAATGAATAAATAAATAACTGGATTCATAATTTTAGCATCAAATTACATAGGGTGAGTTAATTTTCAGGATGTGGAATTTATGTGCTGTTGTTAAATTGTACTTGTCAGTTTCTGCATATTTGTTTATGTAAGAACATCTCCAATCTTTCACATTTTCTTTCATCAATTTTAAATTTGATGAAAAAGTGCTAACAAATCATTTCCAATCCTTTCATTAATTGTTCATCAAATCAAGGGAGAGGCATTTTTTTCCCCATAAAATTGAGAACTCATCAAATCCTTCATTAAATTTGAATTTGATGAAAATTTAAAAGATGAAGCATTGTAGATGATTTTGTAACCCCCATCGAATTTGATGAAAAGGGAAATTTACAATAAAAGGACTATTTTGAAAAAGATTTTGATAAAAAGATTGGAGTAGTTCATATCAAATCAAGCATTTTACTCAAATTTAGAATAAACTTAGATGAAAAAATAGGTCAACAGGTGGAGATGCTCTAAGAGATTGCCACTGCATAATTTAAACAATTGAGTAGTATTTTTTTTTAAAGTAGAAAATACAGAGATAATAATGAAATCTGTTAATAAAAATCATTTTCTACATTTCTTGAACCTTTCTCTTAAAAAGAAATCCTATTTTTTATAGACCTTTTAACTTTGCCAAAGGCCTATATACTAAATCAACAAACTTCTCCTTTAATGCTAATGTGTTAATTGAAAGTCAACAAACTCCCTCTTGGGGACGAGGCTGGCTCTGATCAGTCTTAGAGAGAGACAGAGAGCTTTGACAAAGATCTGACCCATCACAAATTGTATCATATCTACCTCTAAGCTTCCTTGGCACGTTGAAAAAGGGTTGTATCGTACTTATCCTCTCACTACATATGATACACCTCTTGAGGCAGCTATTAGAGGCTACAAAGTTTAACTCATGTTTCTCCCTGTTTCTCCTATCCAAGGGTGGTCAATGGTATGTGTGCTCGGTTGACCTCTATGCAGGCCAAACATGACCATTGTCATCATCACCTACTTGCTCTCAGATTTTTAGTGCTCCATTGCCATCCTCTCTTTACTAAGGCTATCCATCTCTAGTGGTCTGTGGACGTAACAGTGTCCACCATCTTCCTAGAAGCCACTCCTTAGCTAGCTCAGCCCATATCATCCACACATGTCTATCCTCTGCGTAGAAAAAAAACCCTTTGTTTCTTCATCATTTTTTACTTTGAACACAAATTGTTTTTGCTTCTTTGGGTGTGGAATTTATCTTTCTTTGTTTATGTAAGAACATCTCCAATCTTTCACATTTTCTTTCATCAATTTTAAATTTGATGAAAAAGTGCTAACAAATCATTTCCAATCCTTTCATTAATTGTTCATCAAATCAAGGGAGAGGCATTTTTTTCCCCATAAAATTGAGAACTCATCAAATCCTTCATTAAATTTGAATTTGATGAAAATTTAAAAGATGAAGCATTGGAGATGATTTTGATCCCCATCGAATTTGATGAAAAGGGAAATTTACAATAAAAGGACTATTTTGAAAAAGATTTTGATAAAAAGATTGGAGTAGTTCATATCAAATCAAGCATTTTACTCAAATTTAGAATAAACTTAGATGAAAAAATAGGTCAACAGGTGGAGATGCTCTAAGAGATTGCCACTGCATAATTTAAACAATTGAGTAGTATTTTTTTTTAAAGTAGAAAATACAGAGATAATAATGAAATCTGTTAATAAAAATCATTTTCTACATTTCTTGAACCTTTCTCTTAAAAAGAAATCCTATTTTTTATAGACCTTTTAACTTTGCCAAAGGCCTATATACTAAATCAACAAACTTCTCCTTTAATGCTAATATGTTAATTGAAAGTCAACAAACTCCCTCTTGGGGACGAGGCTGGCTCTGATCAGACAGAGAGCTTTGACAAAGATCTGACCCATCACAAATTGTATCATATCTACCTCTAAGCTTCCTTGGCACGTTGAAAAAGGGTTGTATCGTACTTATCCTCTCACTACATATGATACACCTCTTGAGGCAGCTATTAGAGGCTACAAAGTTTAACTCATGTTTCTCCCTGTTTCTCCTATCCAAGGGTGGTCAATGGTATGTGTGCTCGGTTGACCTCTATGCAGGCCAAACATGACCATTGTCATCATCACCTACTTGCT